CGAAACTGCAAAACCCGAAACCCACCCTACATCCCGAATCCCGAAACTTCACAACATCCCAAACCCCTAAACCCCTAAACCCTAAATCCTAAATTCCTAGACCCCTAGACCCCTAAACCCCTAAACTCTAAACCCCTAAACCCTAAACCCCAACTGCTTCAACTCGCCACGCTCAGCATCTGGCCAGCCGCTGAGGGCACCTGCGTCGGGGGGTTTCTTCCTCTTATGGTCCAAGTAGTCCTTATTTATGGTTTTTGGTACCCATAAAGACCCCAAAGTCCTTAAACAATGAGTACTTGGACCCCTAGGGTTCTTGTCTCATCAGGGTCGTTATGACCGGTTTAGGAGTTTAGGGTTCAGGGGTTTAGGGACAGTTTGCCTTGCAAATGAACTTTGAACCGCATAGAACAACAAAATACACACCCTAAACCCTAAAGCTCTATAAGACAACGGAACCCCTGGAACTCGACATCTTCCCCAGAAGCGAAACCTGGGCCCCAACCCCGCAAGACGGTTTAGGGTTTAGAGTTCAGGGTTTAGAGTTTAGGGTTTAGGGCGTAGGGCGTAAGGTTTAGGCTTAGGGTGTAGGGCTTAGGGTTAAAGGTTTAGGGCGTACAGCTTTGGGTTGCTCTGGAACTCCTGCGGTCTTTGAATAACTACATTTTGCCTCATGGGGAGACACCCGAAAGGGTGCATGTACTTATATTTATATACTTTCACAAGAAAAGCTGGGCCTTACGATAAAAAGTGTTTCCTAAAGATGCTGCTGTGTAAGAGAGGTAGCAAAAGCTTGCCAGAGCTCACTAGGGCTTTACTATGACAAAGGTTCTATAGAAAGCTTCCTAGACCTCGGGGTGTGACGCTTCGGAGACTTCCGAGTGGATAAACGAAAAGGATGCCACAACTTAACGGGAACACCGAAGTGACGCCAAGCCCCCATGGGGATAAGCGATGGGGGGCGATCCCAGAATAAAGGGGCTAAGCGCTAAACCCCTAAACCCTAAACCCTAACCAGAGACTCCGCCAAACCCTCGAACAACTAAACCCCCAAGAATTTCTTGAACCCGAAACCCCACGCAGAAGACCCCTGAAACGACACCAAGCTTAAAGCCCTACCGTACCGCAAGAAGCGACATGTAAACCCTAAACCCTAAACCCTGCAGCAAAAGCCAAGCCTAGGGAGCCTACATCCAAAGCGCCAAAAAACCGCCGCAAGACTCTCACAGAACTTCCCAAAACCTTTATAGGACCATAGCCCAAGGCCCTATCCTTATAGGAACAGAATAACCCGAAGCCCTACAATTACCCTTATAGGAACCTTTGTAATCACCCGAAGCCTGGAACCCAGAGACCCCAGTGGCCTGGGGGGCCAGTGTGGCTAGCAGGAAGGTGGACTGCACCAGCCTTTAGGGGCTTATAGGGTTTAGGGTCTGGGGTTTAAGGTTTAAGGTTTAGGGTCTGGGGTTTAGGGTTTGCGGTAGCTTCAGAATCAGTTTTGAAGGTTTGGGGTTTGGGGGTTTAGGGCTTAAGGCACGCATATGAGGGTTCCATGCGCTGTTGTCTCTTACAGTTTACCCATGGGGGCATAGGGTATGGCTCTTTCATATATTCCTCAAGTCTGCTTTGCTCACTCCGCCACAAGCTCAAACCCTAAACCATACCTGAGAGCAACCCTAAACCCTAAAGCCTTACTAAGCTCTAAACCCTAAACCCCCAAAAGTAGGTAAAATGATAACCCAAAGCCCATAAAACGCTATTATTCTACATACTTTTGGGGTCCAGGTAAACTAAACTCTAACCTCTAAACCCTAAACCCAATTGGTCCGGCTCTACAGGCGGTGGATCCGCCCGGCACAGCCAGGGCAGCCTTTCTTGAGCCTCCTGCTATCCCACAAGATATCCTAAACCCTAAACCCAAAATCCTAAACCCTACACCCCAAAAACCCTAAATCCTAAACCCTAAACCCTAAATCCTAAACCCTTGCCGGTCAAATTGGCCAAGTTCTGACACGTTTGGCCAACTCGTCGGGTCTTCTATCGGAGCATATGGGGCTGGAAACGGTTCTGTACGGGTTCAAAAACGGGTTAGAGAGCTGGATTGATGTTGCAGGGAGAAACCCTAAACCCCTAGTGTTTGGGGTTGAGGACTGATGGGATTTGGGTTGTTGGAGTTTAGGGTTCAGGGAGCCCGGTTCTTGGGTCAGGGTCTGTAGGGTTTGGGTTTTTTTGCGTTTAGCGCTTCGTGCGGGTCCAGGGTTTGGGTTGAAAGCCCCGGGGGACAAAAAGGCCAATTGTAACCATATGGGTACGTAGTTCTTTAAACTGGGGTCCCTTTTAGGGTCCATTTTATAAGCATGCCGTACTAGATTGGGGACGTAAGAAGGGACCCTAATCTAGAGAACTAC